TGTGCCTTAGCATAGTCGCCAGGAGGATCTGCTCCATGATCTTGCTGGGCACAGAGGTGAGACTGACTGGTCTCTAGTTCCCTAGGTCTTCTTTTTTTCCCTTTTTAAAGATGTGGGCTATGTTTCCCCTTTTCCAGTCATTGGGAACTTCACCAGATTGCTACGACTTCTGAAATATGATGGATAGTGGCTTAGCAACTTCATCTGCCAGTTCCCTCAGGACCCGCGGATGCACCTCATCTAGTCCCATGGACTTGTCCACCTTCAGCTTCTATAGATGGTCTCAGGCCTGATCTTCTCCTACAGTGGGCAGTTCTTCATTCTCCCAGTCCCTGCCTTTGCCTTCTGCGACTCGGGCTCTGCTGCTAGAGCTCTTGCCAGTGAAGACTGAGGCAAAGAAGTCATTGTGAACCTCAGCCTTCTCCATATCCCGGGTAGCCAGGTCCCCCGTTTCCTTCCAGACAGGGCCTAAGTCTTCCCTAGATCTCTTTTTATCACTGACATATCCATAGAAGCCTTTCTTGTTGCCCTTGATGTCCCTGGCCAGATTTAACTCTATCAGGGCTTTGGCTTTCCTAACCTGATCTCTGGTTACTCGGACAATCGTTCTGTATTCTTCCCAGGCTACCTGTCCTTGCTTCCACTCCCTATAGGCCTTCTTTTTGTGTCCGAGTTGGTCCAGGAGCTCCTTGTTCATCCATGCAGGCCTCCTGGTGTTCCTACCTGACTTTCTCTTTGCTGGGATGCACCGCTCCTGAGCTTGGAGGAGGTGATCCTTGAATATTAACCAGCTTTCTTGGGCCCCTCTTCCCTCCAGGGCTTCATCCCATTGTACTCTAGCGAGGAGATCTCTGAAGAGGACAAAGTCTGCTCTCCTGAAATCCAGGGTAGTGAGCCTGCTATGCACCCTCCTTGCTTCTCTAAGTATCTTGAATTCTACCATTTCATGATCGCTGCAGCCAAGGCTGTCCTTGAGCCTCATGTTCCCCACCAGCCCTTCATTGTTGGTGAGAACAAGGTCCAGCAAAGTACCTCTCCTCGTGGGTTCCTCTACCACCTGGAGAAGGAAGTTATCATCCATGCATTCCAGGAACCTCCTGGATTGCCTATGCCCTGCTGTGTTGTCCTTCCAACAGATATCAGGATGGTTGAAGTCCCCCATGAGGACCAGGGCTCGTGAACGTGAGGCAGCTCCTATCTGTCATAGGAGACAGATCAGCTGAACTTGCTTGAAAGAGGATTTCAAGATTTAGTCCTAAATGCTTAGTTGTCTCACTTTTCACAGTAGAAATGTATGTAGGAACAGTCATTCCTTTTTCTCTGTCTGATCAATTTATACAAAAAGCCTTCTGATAAAAGTCACAATTACTTCTTGACAGATTTAGTAATGTCTGCTGATGTGCAAGGTAAATGTTATTTGAAAATTTACACATAAAGATAGAGCTAATGTTCATACTTCACCAGTGTTATCCACTCTTTTAAATATTTTAAACCACACCAAATTATTCTGGTCATATGTCCACTATTTCAGAAAACAAAATCTAGTCATGAAATTACTCTTTCCAAAATGTAACAGCAGATTGTGTTGCTGAAATGCCTCATTCTCTGATGTCTTTACTTATGTTCTAGTAATGCATGTCATTGCATTGAATACAAACTATTCTGTTGTAAAATTAATGGCTTACTTTATTCTTTCTTTCTGGCTGTAAAACTAATGTCTTACTTTCTTCTGTTGGCGAGAGTTTCTTCACTGTCTCTTGTGAACATCTTCAACCTTTGACTATTTTTGTTCTGATCAAAGGAGCAACCTGAAGACTGCGTAGGCTTCCTTACAGGAGGACCACATACCTTCTTCACCTAAAAGGAAAAAAAGCCACATGAAGAAGGAAAGAACACATGTAAACAAAAATTATGTATCTCTCAATTCAGTTTAAGTCCATTTCAATAAGAAAGTTAGTTCTGTGGACATTAAGCTAAGAAAAATATCATTAATTATCATACTTTTCAACACTATATCAATAACAAATCCAGTAAACACAAAATTAGTCATTTTATAGTAGGAAAAAACCCAAATAAAGTCACTCCTTTTGAAGGAATACCAGATGTATAAGCAAGTCACAATATGTATTTTATTGATTGCGGCATTTTTTCTTCCTGTAACAGTAACCTCAAGAGAAGATGATATGTTGTGAACAGTGGCACATTTCCATTTTTTTCTATACTATACCCCAATCATATTTTTAATATGCATTGAACTTTGTGATGTCTTTCAAGGTTGATGAATTATTATAGCATGTTCAGCACAGTTACCCAGAGCATAGAGTGAGGAGTTAGCAATGTGGAAACTTGCATTACAATTTTGCAAGATGTAAATTTAATGATCCAAGATGTAAGTTTAATGATTCGGACCATAGATGTTGAAAATATCAAGGGATTTTATACGTCTAGCTTTCTAATCTAGATGTCAATAGAAACAAATTCACATGAACTACAATTTTCTTCTTTGTAAAATGTGATACTGAACATTTTGTACAATAGAAGCTATCAATTCATGTTCATAGCTCATTATTCTTCCTAGTTACTGAATAAAAACAATTAAGGCCATACATATTTATTAAATAAGTGATACTTCATGCTGGGGATCACATCAGACAAGATATTAAGCAGACTGAACAGCACATAGAATCATAGAATCACATAATCATAGAATGGATTGGAAGGGACCTTAAAGATCATCTAATTCTAACACCCCTGCCATAGGCAGGGACCCTTTCCACTACACTGGGTTGCTCAAAGCCTCATCCAACCTGGCCTTGAAGACTTTCAGGGATGGAGCATCCACAACTTCTCAGGGCAATCTGTTTCAGTTCCTTTCTGTTCCTTCTCAGAGGGAAGAATTTCCTCCTTAGATCTCATCTAAATCTTCCCTTTTTCAGTTTAAAGCCATTGCCCCTTCTCCTATCAATACACACCCTCGCAAAAAGTTCCCCTCCAGCTTTCTTGTAGGTTTCCTTTAGGTACTGGAAGGGTGCTATGAGGTCTCCCTGGAGCCTTCTCTTCTCCGGGCTGAACAGCCCCAACTCTCTCAGCCTGTTTTCATAGGAGAGGTGCTCGAGCACTCGGATCATCTTCATGGCCCTCCTCTGGACTTGCCCCAGCAGCTCCATGTCCTTCTTGTGTTGGGGACTCCAGAGCTGAATGCGGTATTCCAGTTGGGGTCTCACGAGAGCAGAGCAGAGGGGCAGAATCACCTCCCTCGACCTGCAGGCCATGCTTCTTTTGATGCAGCCAAGGAATATGGTTGGTTTTCTGGGCTGTCAGTGCACTTTGCCGGCTCATGTTGAGCTTCTCATCAACCAACACCCCAAAGACCTCCTCCTCAGGGCTGTTTGCAATCCATTCCCTGCTCATCCTGTAATTGTGCTCAGGATTGCCCCGGCCCATGTGCAGGACCTTGCACTTGGCCTTGTTGAACTTCATGGGGTTCTCACAGGCCCACCTCTCCAGCTTGTCAAGGTCCTTCTGGATGGCATCCCTTCCCTCCAGTGTGTCCACAACACCACACAGCTTGGTGTCATCTGCAAACTTGCTGAGGGTGCACTTGATCCCACTGTCCATGTCACCAACAAAGATGTTAAACAGCACCTGACCCATACTGGCCCCTGAGGAATGCCACTCGTCACTGGCCTCCACTTGGACATTGAACCGTTGACCACAACTCTTTGAGTGCGACCATCCAGCCAATTCCTTATTCACTGAGTGGTCCCTCTGTCAAATTCATGTCTCTCCAATTTAGAGACAAGGATGTCGTGTGGGACAGTGTCCGATGCTTTGCACAAGTCCAGGTACATGATGTCAGTTGCTCTTCCCTTATCCACCAACGCTGTAACTCTGTTGTAGAAGGCCACCAAATTTGTCAGGCATGATTTGCTCTTAGTGAAGCCGTGCTGGCTGTCAACCACCATCTCCTTTTTTTTTGCCATGTGCCTTAGCATTTGCTCCATGATCTTGCCGGGCACAGATGTGAGACTGACTGGCCTGTACTTCCCTCCGTCTTCTTTTCCCTTTTTAAAAATGGGGGCTATGTTTCCCCTCTTCCATTCAGTCAGAACTTCACTGGACTGCCATGACTTCTCAAATATGAGGGACAGTGGCTTAGCAACTTCATCCACAAGTTCCCTCAGGCAGGGAAACTATATATATATAAATATCATAAAAATCCAGTCATTATCTGAAATGTCTTTTTAAGAACTGACTATTTTTTTCCAAAAGCCATTCTTGGAAAATTCTGAAAACAGCATTAGTTAAATCATAAAAAGTGCTTGTACAGCACCACGTACAGTTCTGCCATTCTCACAAAGAAGTGCATGACAGTAATCATACTGCTGAGAACTCTGTTCTGCTAACAGCAGCGACAGCTTTCACAGCTGAAAGAGCACACCAACCTTCGGCAAAGTCACTTACTTCTAGCTACTTCAGCATGCACAATGATGATGTCATCATCTCTGTTACCTTTCTCATATCTCTGATATTTAAAGCCCTGGGACCACTGACTGATTCACTGGCATTGTGTGGTGTTTGTTCTTTTTTTGTTTGGTACGTTGCACTTGTAGCGCTCACCGAGCTGAACCCAATCTGTCTTTTTTTAACTGCTCACCAGTGGCTGTCACTTTTATGCCATGGTTAAACCATTAACTGTACATGCACGTCAAACGTACTTTAGCCTCCCTCACTGGCCCAGTCTTCGTTGTCATCCAATTTCTTCAGTGCACTGTTGTGCATGTGAAAAGGTCATATACTCCTACCTTGCCTTCAGGTGCCTGTTCTGTCTGTGAGTCAAATAATTTAAATCCAAAATATCATTATCTCATTTCCCAGTATAGGGCTGACAATAGTCTAAAAAACTGATGCATTCTTTAGGTCTCCAGGAATGAGTACACAGTATAAGTGTAATGCCACTTAGTTGTATTTCCCATGTTTTCTGAAGGACTACAACTATATCCATTAGCCACATTGTTTCTTAATTTTTAGCCTTTGGCCTACAAAATTAACCTTCCAAGTAAAAATTCGTTCAGTTCTATTACCACCAGTCTTGAGAGACACAGTCTGGAATCACAACCTTGAGAGAAGGGAAATGCTCTCACTATGCTAATGATCTAACAAATGACAATTTTGTAGCAATGTCCGATCAGAATGTATTCTTACTATCTTCCAGTTTCACTGAAAGAGCATTCCCGCAGAATCCTTCCACAAACTGAGCATTCTTCTTGGCTTCAAACACAAAATCCTAGAAGAGAGTATAAAACGATCCTCAAAGGGAACTGAAAATACCCTGAGAAAAGTGAGACTGAAAAATCATCAAAAATATTATTCAGGAGAGTATCACAGATCTTACTGAATTTCAGGAAGAATTAAAGACATAAAAATGTTAAAATAGACAAGCCTCAGCAACCCACTAGGGTTTTTTCTGTTGGTTTTTGTTTGTTGTTTTTTTTTGCCTTTTGGTCAAATGTTCTTAAATACTGCATAGTATTTAAGGGAACAAAAAGTAAACCTCAGAAAATGATAAAACTCCTGATTTTCACAGTTCAGACAAACCTATTGTCATTATACTCAGCATGCTGTTATTATGCACAATTTGTATGCCACAGTATGATGACTGGGTTAATTAAAAGCTCTTGTAATAACCATGCAGTTAAATTGCAATTAGTGCCACACATGAACTTTATGGCAGTTTGATTTGCCTTAGTGCAATTCTGTAGAATGTCTGCTTACGGTTACTTACAGTTTGGAAAACCAGATCATCATAAAGCTTTACGTTTACACAGGACTGGACAATGACATGGGCATCATATCGATAATGGTAGGATACCGTTCTCTAAGTTCTCATGCTCAAGAGGAGAAATCAGTCACATTCTTTGTTGTTTGTTGGGTTGTTTTTTTCCCAGTATAGAAACGGTTCCTTCTGATCCTTTCTACTGAAATGATTTTACATCAAATGACTGAAGTAAACTGAATGCCCAGTCCTGCGGTGCACTTTTGAACTAGATATGCCAAGTCTTGGTAATTAACTATGCCATAATCTTTAAATGCTGCCACTGTGCCAGGAATCCTGAGACTCTCTGCTCCACTTTGGGTCACAGGCTGTTGTGAAAAACCCTGAAAAGATGAGCACCTTCTAGTCTTGCAGTGTGCCTGTAGTCTGTTTCACTAGTTCTTACTACTGTGCATAGAGTAACAGGGAAGAAAACACTTCTCTGGATACAAAAGCTTTCGGGCTTAGACTCAGCTCTAGCTGGGAACCAGAACCAGGAGTCTGAAAATTGCCCTTTCTTTTATGTTTAAGTGTTTCATGCTTGTTTTGGTAAGTTTAGCAAGTTTTTGATACGCATATATTCAGGATTTCCTGTAAATTGGGTATGTGTCAAGTATTCACTAGACTGACACAGCCCTCTCAGACCTGTAAGCCATCTGTGTGGCCATAGCCCATGAAGGCATTTTAAACTCCTTTTATTTAATGCATGTTTTAGTTAGTGATTAGTCTGATGGCTTTCAGTTCTAGATATCAGATCACAAGTTTGCCACCATCTCTCACAGTTAAATCCCATCAAACACTCACGAGTAAATGCCTAGCTGAATTCCAATAACTCTAAAACAAAGCTAGAGTGAGATGATGGTTGAAAGTACATTTGTTACAAAAAAAAACCCTGTGGTTAATTTTTTTTTTATTTTCTAGGAGCACAAAAGTGAATACTTTCTTCAAGAAACAGACTCTTGATGAGTCACAAGCATTTCCAGCAACAGATTACTAATCAAACTACCTGAAATATTCACCCAGAAAAAACAATGCATTAAAC